ATCTGCCGCCTCTTTGTCCTGTTTGCTCGGTTACTCCCATGCCCTGGTGCATGGTGCGTGGTGCTGGAAAGTTACCCTTTGATTTTTTCTTTAGGCGGGTATGGGAAGCGTCCTCCTTTATTTTTGTTTAATGTTATTTTGAAAGAGCTTGGCAAACTTACAGAGTTGAAATAAAGGGGTCTGATTCTTGACCGTCACTTCGAGACAATCAAAGCACACGTGAAGGCGGGCAACTCCATTGCGAAGGAGCGATGGGACGCCATCGAGAGCGCGTGGGGGCCTGAAGCAGAACGGTGTCTTCGACGACGAAGAGTGGGTCACGCAGATTGACGGCGAAACGCGGGGTACTACCAGCAGCACCCGCCTGTCCTCCTCATCCCAACAAGATATCGGCAGCGCGCGAGGTGCTGCACCGCCGTCTCAGCACCCACCTATCTGCTGCTGCAGGTACCACGAGGAGAAAGGCCGTGGATCGCGGGAAGCAAGCTAGGGAAAGAGCTGCGAAGGCACTTGAGGCGGCAACATCTGCAACGCGTTCGCGATTGGCAGTCGAGGACCGGTGAGCACACAGTTACTTTTCGCTACCGGTGTAGTCTAGTCTACATGCACTATTTTCGTTTTTCAAGAAAAACTCCCGTGAAAACGATGACATGATGAGGGCCATTTTCTTTCAGTAGCGGCTATAGGTTGACTCTCAGACATGCACCGCAGGAGGGTGTGAATCCTTGGCTCTTGTAAGGTACAAGAGGCCTCCGTGAGCAACGGTCGTGGGTATATGGGCGATGCGTAGAAAGCACCGGACAGACAACGGTTGACAGAGTTGGATCTCGGGTGAGAGCCGAAGGGACAAGGATAGAAGTGACAGAGGGGTGCGAGCAGAGCGAGGGCACCGCCATCGAATAAGCCGACGTGGCGAGGACTGACCTGGCACGCTGAGCTGGCACGCTGAGCTGGCAGGCTGACGTAGGGCAGCAGCCAGGAAGACACCGCCGTAGCGGGGACGAAATAGGCCGCACGAGATGGCGTGCGGCGTATCTCTCTCTCGCGCATACAAACTGATGCGATGCAAAAGTGTGCAGCGAGGACAAAAAGTTCTACCGCGTAGCATGTAGGTTCTCAACGGACAAGAGTCACTCACATCACCCCCCAGTTTTGTTGGTGATAGCGCTCCCTCCAACAAAACTCGAGCAGTAATGAGGGACGAAGCGACTGAGAGGCTACATACTACCCCCCATTTCTTGGTACGCTCGAACGCAGAAAATGGGCGGGATCATTCTAGAGGATGATGCGGGTGAATATGAAGGACCGAACAATGACAGCGGACAGGGCGAGCGTGTAATGCTTGGACAAGAGAGTACTGATTGGTGTGTCATGCGGTGAGAGACACGTGAACAATAATTTGCCAGGATCGACAGGAGAGAAGGGGACAGAGAGCGTAGACAGGTGTACTAATTGACACAGCAGGAAGATGCTGTGGCCTGCAGGACAACAATTAGTTCGAGGGCGCATGCGGCGAAATGACGCTGTGCGGTGGACAGAGTGATCGATCGTCATATTGGAGATCCTGGGTGTGCTAAAGCAACGTGAACGCATCGTGGCCAGACAGTATTGATGCGAGCCAGGAGCACGGACAGACAAAAGACAGAGAAAGTAATGGCTGACAAGTTGGATGACGGCACAGTTTCCAACACAGATCATGTATGGAACAGGAGAGTCAGTCGCTTTTCCGGGGATTGGAAAACTAACCCGCGCCAGAAAAAATGCACACAGCGACAACCATGTCTCGAATCCTTCAACCGACCCTCTGGAGGGCATTACAGCGAGGAGAGACGAGGGCGTGTGGTACCCATGAAACCCGTGGAAAGATACGGTGTTCGTCGTGTATGATTATCACTTTTCTCGAAGAATCGTCCGTGAAATCAACCCCTCTGTGGCGAAAAGTCACTGCCACTCTCAAGACGCCACAAGTAGTCAAAATCTCGTGTTCTACTCAACGAGTGGGAAGGACCAGACACGATACACCTAGGGACAGAAAAAAACAAACCACGATGATCCATGGACACACGACGCTAACTCCTGGAAACACGACAAGGTTCCCAGCCAAAAGACGTGCATACACGATCGTAGGGCGTGCCTGTGAGAAAAAGGACAGCCCCGAGGTGCGTGTGCGTGGTACGACGCACGATCAACGCAAAGGAACACCAATAAATACAGACGACAGAAGACAGACAGCCATGAAAGAGGCGTACAAAAGTAGCCACGAAAAAATACTGCCGGCTACAGTACATACTGACAGACACGCGGGCGCCGGGCTTCGGTCGTTGCAACAACCGAGGCAGACATACACTAGACACAACAGATAACACGCGACACAACTGCCCTTACGTGTTCCGACGGCGAGACGAACGGCGTCGTGACTTCTTGCGTGGCGGGTCGAATGCCGAGGGATGTTCAGACATGACTACAGCTCGATAGGAATCGATCATATCCCGACATTGTGGGAGGGTGCTGTAGTGAGGCCAAACTCCACACTGTGGAGGCTGGCCTTGCAGTTTGAGGTGGTATTGGAAATTATCCACCGACGCTTTGCCCACCCCCCGTTAATGACCGTCGATGGCTTCGACGACATACGGGTCGATCGTGACGGTGTGCATAAAGCCATCAAGATCAGGGACAGGAAGGGCTGTTCCGAGGAACATGTCGTCTAGAGCCTCAAAATCGGGGTCAGGGGACGACGTAGGTTGGACAAATGGTTTCATTCGACCCAAGTGGACGGTGACTTCTGTGGGGTCGTTGGGTTTTGAAACACGATAAATGACAGGAGAGATTTGAGATCTGACAGTGAATGGCCCGTGCCAAGGACTAACGAGCTTGGGGTTGGGGCCATCAGTTTCGTTGTACGGGCGGTGGAGCAAAACCTGGTCGCCCATTTTGAAACTAGGGAAGGACAGTTTCTCGTTTTCGACAGCTTGCTTATCCGTGCGTTCTTTGAGATTGCGACGGGCCAACTCGTAAGCGAGTTGCAGATTCTCTACGGTGCGACGCGAGTGGTCAAGACGACTCTGCGGAGCATCGGTAGCGGGAACTCCGAGGAAGAGTTCGACAGGCAGGGTAGGGGCACGGCCAAAGACGAGATAATGGGGTGTTTCCTCCAATGTCTTGGAATAGGCTGTGTTGTGTGCAAGCTGGACAAAAGGCAACAGTTCTGACCAAATATCACAAGCCAGGTTGCTATACATGGCAAGCATATTGTGGACAGTGTTGTGGACACGTTCGAGAACAGAATTCCCTTGCGGACGGTACGCGGCCGTGCGGGTTTTCTTGTACCCAAAGACAGTTTGCAATTCTTTCACGAGTTGGTTTTCGAATTCTCTTCCTTGATCAGAATGCAAAGTTTCCGGCGGACCGAGCACCGAAAAGACACGGTCAATGAGATGACGGACCACTACGGTAGCCTCCTTGGACGGAATGGGTATGAGAATGAGGAAGCGTGTGAGATGGTCGATGACAGACAAGATAAATCGGTTACCCTCCGACTGTGATTTGTATTCGACAAGATCAACAGCCACAACCTGGAAAGGGTTGGTGACCGGTCGGTGCCCTATGTGCAGGGTGGATGGCCGATGCGACGTATTGCGGTGTTGACAAGAGAGACAGCTTTCGACGTGGTCTTTGATGCCTTTGTGCATTGTAGGCCACCAATAACGATCGCGGACTTTGTCGAAAGTACCTTTAAAAGCTAGATGGCCACCCGACGCCGGGAGGTCATGACACACATTTATGACAAGTTTCCGCAACGTGTCGGGCACTACCAGTTGGTCAAGTGCCTCGCCTACGCAAGTGGGCAGGGACACAAGAGCGGCAGAGCAGACCTTCGTGGATGAAAAATTTACTCATGCTGGACTTAGGCTGGTGGAGTGGTACCCGAGCCTTGGTGGGGTTGTCCAAGTAATCGAAATACTGGTGGAACTCTTTCTTTTGATGATCGAGCAACTTGGCAGTATCGAAAACAGGGAAAACAGACATAGCGCTAGAGAACAACTCACGTTCGGTGTCGACTGGGACAATGTCGTCTAAATTACTAGCGGACACTTCGTATTCACGAGGGGCAGGAGGGCGGAATGGTTGGTCATCGGGGACATTGCGACAGATAGCGGCGAGCCGAGGCTCGTACGGGAGAGGTTTGCCGTCGATTTCGCTGAAAATGCGGGACAGGGTGTCCGGGACTACGTTAAGTTTCCCCGGAACGTGCTTGACGGTGAAATCGAAATTTTGCAGACAGATGGCCCAACGAGTAAGCATATTAGACGTATCTTGCATATGATACAGGTACGTCAGCGCTTGGTGGTCGGTGTGACAAGTGATTTGCCGGCCCCAAAGGTATGGGCGCCAGTGGGTCAGGGCCCAGACAACCGCCGTACACTCCTTCATAGTGGGACTATAGTGACGTTGGCCTGCTTTAAAGCGTTTGCTGTAGTAGGCGACAATGTCTACCGCCTTGTCGCCGGTGCTATCTTTGGACGGTTGGGCTAGGAAGGCACCTACACCAAGCTCAGAAGCGTCAGTGTGCACGACAAATTCTCTCGAAAAATCGGGAAAGTGGAGGACAAGGGCGGAATACAAAGCATCTTTGAGTTGTTGGAAGGCGGCATCTTGGTCCGGCCCCCAAGCTTCCCGAAATTTGCGGGGTTTGACGAAATCCTTGCGAGTCAGATCAACTAGCGGTGCAGTGAGGTCAGCGTAATTTTTGGCAAAGCGACGGACAAAATTTGCCATGCCGAGGATGGAACGGAGGTCCTTGATACATTTCGGCGTGGACACGTCGCGGATGGCATCAATGCGGTCGGTACTGACGAAAATACCTTTCGCAGAAATGACATGACCAAGGTAATCGACTTCTTTACGACCAAATTGGATTTTGGACGGCTTGAGAGTCAGACCTGCTGCCTGCAATGCTGCGAACATTTTCTCGATGGAGACAAGATGGGTCTCAAATGTGCGATTGATACAGATCAGATTGTCCATGTACAAGAGGACACCGGAGTCGGGACCAAGGTGGCCCAGAGCAATAGACATTACGTGTTGAAACAGCCATGGCGCATTCGCTACCCCGAACGGCATACGCTTGAAACAGTACTTGCCGTTATGAGTCACGAAGGCGGTCCGGTCGACATGCTCCTCAGCCACAGGAATCTGCCAGAAAGCGCTGAGGATGTCCGCCACAGTGATGTAGAGGGCGTCCCCGACGGCATCCAGGCACGACTCAAGGTTGGGCATAGGGCAAGTCTTGCGAATGATGTTGCGGTTGAGGGTGTGGCGGTAATCAATACAGAAACGAGGGCTGCCGTTGCTTTTGGCGACAATGGTACAAGGGCTGCCCCATGGACTGGGCCGTTTCTCGGTAATACCCCATTCTAGCATATCTTCAACACGTTTGTCGGTGGCAGCTGAGGTACGGGGGTTGGGGCGATACGGCGGACGGTCGATGGGGCGGGTGCCAGGTGGCACGGGGAACGTTGCCTCGGCGATCGTACAACGACCGAGTTCGGACATGGACAGAGAGAAAACGGGACGATATTTCGCGCACAAGTCTAAGACAGATTCCTTTTGTTCAGAGGTGAACGTGGATCCGGAAAAGGCTTTGGACAAAGCACCTTCAAGATCAGACCTAGCGCGGCGGACTTCCTCGTCGGTGACGGGGGTGTTCGCGACAGCATTGACACGTACTTCATCAGGGGTGACTACAGAGACAGTAGACAAATGGCCAAGACATAATTTCTGGGGGAGTGACACTCCATCAGGGGAAGGGTTGGCGAGTTGGACAACGACAGAGCCGTCAGAGGCATGCCAAGTGGCAAGGGTACGAGCGACAATAATATTTTTGAAGGGCTCGAGTGTGCCGTCTGCAGCTAAATCCGCTTCGGTGACAATGCGGGGTTCTACCACGACGGTACAATCTTCGGGTGGCAGACAATTGGTGAAGACAACAGCAAGACCGTCCTCTTTGGGTTTGAGGGCGACCTTTTCACACAAAATGACAGGAATAGCATCAGTATCGTTATGTACAGCGGCCACGGACAGGTTTCCGTCGCGGAACGAGGGAGACGGGTTGGTGCTATTCGAAGAGACAGAATCGCGGATGCGATGAACAGCTGGTATGGTTTAACCAGAGGACGAAAAAAGCAAGGTTTCGTTTTCCCAATCTAGGAGTGCTCCAAAATCAGACATGACTCTGTTATCAAGGAGCATGAGGTCAGGACCCAGAGAGGGGACAACAAGAGCGGTCACCGTACGGGTGATTTCGCTGAGGGTGAGCAGGAAATCGATAAATCCTAGGACATTGATCGGTTTGCCGTTTGCTGCACGAAGCGCTACAGCGGACGGAGGGACAGGGTGTAAAAGAACAGACTGCAAGGTGGGATGAGACCGCAACCAAGCAAGCGACACGACGGGCACGTCGGTAGCTGTGTCCACCGTGACATCATTCACGGGAACGTCGTCGACGGACCCGGCGATGCGGACTCGTCGAGACGAAAAAGACAGAGAAAAGTCGATGGTTTTGTGCGCCAGCCTTGAGCTGTACCACACTTGATCATTCGTATTATTTTTGACAGAGGACAACTTCCTCCTCCACTTCCGTATCCCGCGTCTACCACGCCCACGCGGGTGCACACACCCTGAACTGCTACGCGAAGACACACTGTCACATGCACACGGGGACCCGGACACAGACTGAGCAGACTTGACATTCTCACGTGACTCAGCAACACTAGGACAGGACGTTGCTAAAGCCGGACACGGAGGCTCGGCGCAAGCCGAGGGGACATTGTTGCTACTCAGATTCCGCTTCCGGGAGGGAGAACGGGGACACACAGGCTCAACGCCATCGTCATCAGCCTGCAAGGGAGGGACACGAAGATCAGACACGCTAGACAGGCCGTACAACGCTCCGTACCGTGAGGACGGGCGCGGACTCTAGGCACTACATAGTTACCATGACGGACAGGGACACGGGGGACAAGAAAGTCGGGGGTAGAGGCAGACACAGCTACGGACGTGGGGAGTTTCCTCTTCACGCCTCTACTGGCAACACCAGAATAATTCCCTACTACTACAGGCGCAGCAGCAGCAGGGCACCCCTAGTTGTTGGAGGTGGACGAATTCTTGGCGCGCTTGCCTCCGCCTCCGCCGCCGGAGCCGCCCCCGCTGCTGCCTCCGTTGCCGGAGTCCTCGTCCCGCTCGTCCCGCTGGCGCTGGAAGCACGTCTCGAATGTGTGTCCGAGGGGCTTCTTGCACTTCGAGTAGGTACAGCGGGGCCGGGGAGCGGCGGGGGTTTTGCCCTTGCTGCGGCGGTTGCGGTTGGAGTTGCCTCCTCCGCGGCCGCCGGAACCAGAGCGACCCCCAGAGCCCGACCCACCACCAGAGCCAGAACCGGAGCCCGAGTCGGATCGACGCGCGGGGACAATGCCGGCGGCGTTCCGGAGCTGGATCGCGTTGTACCGCTGGGCGATAGCGGTGCGATTGGGGACATGCGTGAAAGACATGGCACTGGTGTATGCATCAGCACGACCAGGGTTAAGGCCAGTGAGGTTGGAAGCCTCAAGGCGACGAGCCTGTAACACAGCACCCTGCATGGTAATAGGGTGCTGCTCCTGACTAGCGAGGAGTTTGATATCAGGGACAAGACCATTGCGAAACAGGACGACAGACAGAGCGGCATAGGGGGAAGCCCCTTGTGAAAACCGTTCGACAGACGCTTCGAAGCGTGACATTTCTGCTTGATAGCGGAGGGCATACGCTGCGACAGATTCCGTCTTGTCCATTTGGAAAGTGGCGAGACGGAGGGCAGACTCCTCTACAGAATTGGACGGCATGAGACAATCGAGCATGGCGGTTTTGAGCTCGGACCAGTTCGTGGGACAAGTGTGAGAGCCAGGGCTATCGGTGGAAGCAGACCCTTGGGGTTGTTCCCAGTTGATTGAGCCGTCCATGATTTGTTGGTACAAAGACAGGATGGGGCCATCACAGATCAGCGACAGGTGCTCGAAAGCGGCTTGATCAGACATCGACTCTAGGTCAGACGGGGTGGTAGAAGCGGGTGCTACTGCCTTGACACGGAAACTGCAGACTAGCCTGAACTGGTTGAGACAAGAAATGACATCGGTGTCAGCAGATCCCGTGAGACGGGGGAGCTGCTTGACATCGTTGGCGGACAGCGTGACACGGTGAGACTTAGTTGACAGGGCCTCGGCAAAGCTACGAGCTAGCGAAGGGACAGAGACAGAGCTGTGGGACACAGACGGGGACACCGAGGAAGATTGACTACAGGCAGTTGCACGCAGACTCACCACCTTATCCATAACTTCCATGGTGTGAAGGCTCAGCTCCGTGATGTCTCCCCGGGCGAGCTTTTCTGACTCGTTCTCGATGTAGCGGGTGAGGCTCGCGATCGTTGCGTCGAGGACGGAGGCGCCAGGGGGAGGGGTCTCGGTGACGGGGTGGGAGTTGGCGACGCTAGGGTGAGAGACGAGGTCGTCGTCGATATCCATGGCGGCGGCGGCGGCGGGCTCGCGAGACGCAGCGAGCGCGAGCTGCTCCTGGTGCGTCTCGAGAGCGTCGCCACGCAGCTGGTGGCCGACGTTGACTGAGTCGCTGGAGGGCGAGACAGGGGATTGAGTCTCCTGCGCGGCAGCAGGAGCAGGGGTGGGGGCAGGAGCGGGCGGAAGGCCGCCCTCGCCCGTGGAAGATCCACCCTCGGGGTGGTTCATTTTCGTTTCTTCGACCCCGGGGTTGGGCATGGTGGGATATGGAGGACACTGCGGCGCAAATCTGAGAGGTTCACCAGTAAAGGTTCTTCACTGACGCCAGGTATAGGTTGACTCTCAGACATGCACCGCAGGAGGGTGTGAATCCTCGACTCTTGTAAGGTACAAGAGGCCTCCGTGAGCAACGGTCGTGGGTATGGGCGATGCGTAGAAAGCACCGGACAGACAAAGGTTGACAGAGTTGGATCTCGGGTGAGAGCCGAAGGGACAAGGATAGAAGTGACAGAGGGGTGCGAGCAGAGCGAGGGCACCGCCATCGAATAAGCCGACGTGGCGAGGACTGACCTGGCACGCTGAGCTGGCACGCTGAGCTGGCAGGCTGACGTAGGGCAGCAGCCAGGAAGACACCGCCGTAGCGGGGACGAAATAGGCCGCACGAGATGGCGTGCGGCGTATCTCTCTCTCGCGCATACGAACTGATGCGATGCAAAAGTGTGCAGCGAGGACGAAAAGTTCTACCGCGTAGTGTGTAGGTTCTCAACAGACAAGAGTCACTCACACGGCGCGTAATAAAAGAAAAAAATGGAGAAAGTTCGTAGTTTTGGGGCTGGCCTCTGCTGGCAACGACTGCGTTTCGCACGCCGTTTCTTGCTGTAGGTGCCCAAGCAAGTGGAGGAGTGTCGAGTTCTCGTCAACTGCGTCTGCTGGCAAGAGCCAACTTCGGTGCAAATACTCCGGAAAGTTGTACCTTGTTCAGATTCGTGGAATGCTGCTGATGTGTAGACATGATAAGATAAAATTTTCGTCCATCCCCCTTTTTTTCAAGCAAGACCAGAACATTAAAAGAAAATAGTGTAGACAGATATTTTATTTTGGATGCCGGCGACGTTGTTTTGGCGTCACAACAGTGCACGTTCTCTGCTTGATACTTAGTTTGAATAGTCACGAACGAAACAGACAGCTTTCGGCTCTCCACGGAGGTTTGAGGTCGAAAGCTCCACACTCCATACCGAACGATACATGACGTTGCTCGTTGAATCACCCCCCCGGCAACTCCGCCCTGCTTCCACCTTGCCATGCAGATTGAGCGGACTCGCGGTGGAGTGAAAGAGCTCATATCCGGTACAAGCTTCCCACCTCCGACCCGGAGTCCCGCCGATCTTGCCCTCACTGTCCCATGACCTTCGGGAACGAGCAAGGCCTTGGGATCCACGTGAGAACGCAGCACAGCAGTGCAAACATGTCCAACGGCGTGCGGCTGCGGCGCATGTTACGGAAGGATGTCGGAGGGAGTGTCCTGCCGTGGGAAGCAGCCTGGCCTGGGCATTGTTGGCACGTGAAGTTCGATCATGCGACGGGGACGGCTTCGTTTGTCCTCCAGCGGAAGCGCTTTCTCGTTCTCGACTTGGATAGCGACGGCTTTATGGACCGCAAACCCAAGGACACTCGTGGGGCTCCCAAGCGCAGGCGATACGACTTCAGGTTCAAAGCCCACGCGGTCAACCAGCTGCGCATCCTCCAGGACAACGCCGAAGACTTATGGAAGGAGGAGCAGCGCACGCCTCTTCAGTTCTTGGAGGATCGTCTCAAGATTCTCTACAGCAATTATAGTGAAGTGGGCCAAGAACGAGAAGGAATTGGTCGCGGCGGCAGCCAATGACTTTTTTAAGAGCCTCCTCGCCAAATAGCAGCCTAGGCGGTGGTTTCCTGAGGCAGAGAAGCGACTGTACAAGGGGATCGTGGAGCAGCGGAAGAGAAAGCTGAAGGTGTCGACCCTGTGGCTGACGATCACGTTCCGGAAGCTCGTGCGAGAGATGTACCCCGGGGATCAACGAGCGGCGTCCTTCCGCGCATCCTTCAGGTGGGCGCGAAAATGGGCCAAGAGGCATAACCTATCCAAAAGACGCCGGACCAACCTCAAGAACAAGTCTGTCGAAGAGCGGCTTCCAAAGATCCACCGCTTCCACCGGCTGTTTCGCAAGCTCCTGCAAGAGCCGGTGCGGTACAGAGCGCCCGATGAGTCCGACGTGTCGACAGTCACGACGGTCGCGGAGAGAGAGTCCAGGGTTCCCAGATACGGTCAATTCCAGCTCTGGGAGCGTTGGAATGTGGATCAAGTGTCTTTGGCATTCGTGAACGGGCTGCTCGAAACGTGGGACAAGAGAGGTGCGTTGCGGGTAGCAATCTCGCACCCCTTTGCTGGCCTAGAGAAAAGGCAGTGCACGATGCAAGTCATCTTTGGTCCGGGTGAGAAGACCATACGCATTTCGGTGATTTTCCGAGGCACGGGAAAGCGGATCTCGCCGGTGGAGAAGGCAGCGTATCACGAGGACGTGGACGTGTTTTTCCAGGAGACCAAAAGTTCTGCATGGAGTGGGCGAAGAGGTCCTACCGCGAAGACCTGATGCGCGGGCGGGGTGAGCTCCCCACGGCGAGGTCCATTCTTATCATGGACAACTTGCACGCGCAGATCACGGACGAGTTCAAGGAGTATCTTGCGAAGCACTGCAACACTCTCGCCTGGTATGGCCCTTCGGAGTGCACGGACGAGGTGCAGCCAGTTGATGCAGGAGCCGGACGATTTCTCAAGGTGGAAGTCGGAAGCCAGATGGACATATGGCTCGAGCAGTCGGACAACCTCGAGAGGTGGGAAACCGCGTCGCTGACAGCCTCTGATCGGCGCGTCCTGACCAGTCAGTGGATGGGAGCGGCCATGGCAAGACTCAACAGCCAACAGGCGTACCGATACCGTCTTTTCGAAAAGTGCGGGATGGCCATGACCGTGGACGGCTCGGGCGATGATCGAATCACCTTGGAGAATTTGGACAAGCCGTATACCTTCGCTAACGATGAAGACAGTAGCGACGACGAACACAAGGTTCGGAGAACGGCAACGATGAGCTTGAGGGGCGGGCGGAGGAGGGCGATGGAGGACGTGAGACGCTCATGGAGGGTGTTGACTCTAGCGATGAAGACGACGGCGGTAAGTTTGTTTTGCACAAAACCAACTCTTCATCTTCTTATTGTTGATGACGATGTCCTTCATGTTGACGTTAGCTTGTTTCCGCGCACCGGTATACTCCAATTGTGATTTGTTCAGGTTGAGTTTGGCGACGTGACACCCTAACTTCTTGTGTTTCCCGTTGCCTCGTTCGCAGACATCTCTCAACCCCAGATCGACGAGCTAGCTCTTCCGGACGACGACGGCAGCATGAACCCACAAGACCCGGAGGATGAGATACAGGGAATGGAGATTCCGGCAGGCTTTCGTATTCAAGAAGCTAAACCCGTTGCTCTTGACAGATTGCTTTTGCGGCGTGGAGTGCTCGTTAGGCTGGGCATGGGGTGGTTTGGAGGGCTGATCACTCAGCAATCTCAGAAGGACACTCGCCACCTGTACGACTACTGTGTGCAGCTGGAGCTAGACCAGAGTACGCGCAAGATGAAGTTGCCCTTAGACAAGTACAGCGGAGATTCAGATGCGGCTGTAGGCTCCTGGGTTTTGCTTGAGAGCATTAGTAGATCAGGATGGGTACGCAGGACCAACGTCACCCTTGTGGACCAAGAAGGTTGACAGTTGCTGCTCCATCCCTGGGAAATTTCTTGTATCGACAGCAGTACTAGGTAGTGTTGCTCATGGTTGACAGCCGACAATATAGCAAATGATGTTAAATTACTGTAAGAACAAGAACGCCCCTTCTGGAGAAGAATGGACGACGAAACAAGAACTTGGCAAATAAGAACTAGTGCTCGGGTTGGGGCAGCCAATAAGAACTGAGCCTCGCCCAATATAGGTTCTAAAGTGCGGGCCGGCACTGTACCGTACGAGCTTTGCAGCACAAGCTATGAGGCACATTTCGAGCATCACTCAGCAAGAAGAAATAAATCGCACAAAAATGCAAACCAAAAATATGGAGAATTATGGTGCGCAGCATACAGGACCCCACTTCTCTGCTCAGCCAGCCGTTCCCATGGCACAACAGACGAGGAACAGTCATGGCCGAGTCGTGTCGGTCGGTCACAGGAGGTGGAGGCTGCTGAAACTCAGGGAGGGGTCATGGTTTGCGATTCCCTACCGAACCATACTTGAGGCGCCACGAAATTCTCTCTGTGGCTCGAGATCAGCATTTGAGACCGGGTCGGGCAAGGGGTGGCCCATGCGAATGGAAATGACAGGGACAGCAAAAAAGGTGAATTTAGGTCGATCTACCGAGCTTGGAAATAGCGGCCACTTGTACCATGACCCTGTAAAGTGGTAATTTTCAAGGAACCGATTTTGGTTGTCCCTCCATAACTTTTGACTGAGAGCGAGTAAAAGAAAAAGAAAAACAGCTTCGGAACGCCCGCGGCAAGGCGCAAAAGAGTAGCGAGTCGCCAAAAGAAAAAAGGAAAAAAGAGAAAAAAAAAAAAGAAAAAAGGATGCTCGCGGCGGGTCTCGAACCCACGAAATTGGCCCTAGAGCAACTTATCCCCCATATATGTTGCTAATCCTTTATTTTTTTCGCACCAAACCACCCACACGTGCACAGGAACGCCCTGAAACACTATGAAAATGCCTCTACCGCACCTATAGCGTACATACATCACAAAAATTGGCCGTTTTCAACAAAAATGTTCCATGTTTGTCCAACATTCCCACCAGAAACACGGGAAAAAACTGAACAAATACAGCTCAATGAACAAGAATGCGCCATCGACTCTACGGCCTCCATTCCTTCGGGGTCGGGCGCCTGTGCGACTTGTACTTCTTGTACGTCTTCTTGCCCTCAGGCCCTTGCACACGCGTCTCGCGGTACATGAGGGCGTGTGTGTACGCCTTCTTGCAGTAGCCCTGGACTACCGAAACAGCCTGTCTATCCTTCTCTGGTCTAATACTCAGCGGCACGTTCTTGCGCAAGCATTCCAACGAATATTTGCATCTCTTTCGAGTCCAATCCTTTGCCGTACTCGAAGAGGTGGTAGGACCAGTACTGTCCATGCTCGTCTTCATGAAGCACGTCGATGGGGCGGAACTTCTCCACCTTCACGTTTTCCCCCCGTCGCTTCGCGGCAGCTGAGGCGGCGCATCGTTTCCTGCGGTTGCGCTCCGCGTCCTGGATCTGTGCCCGCGACGCCGAGAAGAAGCCAACGTTGTGGATTATCGTCCCCGACACCATGATCCCCTGGCCTTGTGACTTCTTCACGGGCACATGCTGGCCGTCCCGATACCACGCGCGCCTCTGGTCGTCGTTGGCTGCAAATACAAACAAGAAACCGACAATTTAGGGGCGGCAGATGTGGCGCTGTCAACATGTGTGATTAAATTTAAAGTCCCACAATTGAATTGCGAGCAAGATTACTGTTCGCGCCCGGAATTTACACCTAAATTATCGAAACCGCTTTGCTCCGTTTAAAACTAACCTCGAAATATGTTCTCGTCCTGGTAGAGAAGCATGGCCCGCCTCCCGTCAGGGTAGGTTTTCTTGCTCTGCACTCTGGCTTGCAGGTCTTCGGGCAAGTCTGCCAGCGCAGACTCGAGATCATCGACACAAACCCAGACACCACCATCCGGCAAGCGCTCGGTCTCCTCCACCGTCTCGACGTCAACACCCCAGACGATCGCTTCATCCTTGCCCATCGGAATCCATACCTCCATGTAGTCGCGGGTGTCGAACAGCGCCGGGAGGAACTCGTCGTGCCGGTATTCAAGGGTCTTCTTGTCGTCGTGGCCATCGAAGTACAGCCCCTTTTTGCCGTCGTGGTATTCGCATCCCATCTTCTTCAGCCACTCCGTTGCCGTAGGAAGGGCGATTTGGCGCTTTGGCGGCTCGTTTTCCTTCACTTCCACCGGCTTTACGCTCAATCCATGGAACGCGTTGATGCCGTCCTTTTCCTGCTCCTCCAGCATCGGCATGATGGTGCTGTTCACCCACTTGCGGAAATCCTCCGCCGTTGTATTGGCGTGCCCACTGAGTATCCCGCAGTTCTCGATCACCCAGCCTTTCGCGAGCTTGAAGACGCCTTCGTCGAGCTCCAGCAAAAACCTGCGCTTGAAGCGACCTGTGTCAGGTTTTTTTATGCGTCCGTGGGCGATGAAATCCCGCTCCCACTGCTGTACTGCTTGAACGGTTCTCCGTCCAACCTCTGATGCGATGGCCAGAGCATCCTTCCGGTCGAAGCCGTCAGCCTGCTGGGTGTACAACTGGATCAATGCCATGGCCACTTGCACCGTGTGCGCCAGCTGAAAGTTGGACAAACAGCTGTCTTCCGTACTTGTATCCTGCGCGAAGGGGGAGTGTCGAAGGTGGCAATGAACCTTTAACTTTCAGTGGCAAATTTGTTTGACAGCAGTATTTCAAGTATAATTTTTCAAGGGTGAGTGCAGGCAAATTAATTTGCAGAGCGGGTGCGAAGTACGTGCAGGTTGGTCAAACTTCGACGGCGGAGGTTGCAGATTGGTGCCGCCCGAGAAACCCCGCCACGATAAGTTAATAATAATGTCGTGAGGTGAATTTACAGCAGTGTAGATTATTTACAGACCTCAGAGCGCCCAGGTTCGAGCACGGCATGCGTGAAGAAAAAAGTGGATCACACTTAATTTAGACTGTGTAGACTACTGCCCTCACATCGTTCATCTCCGCGGCTGCGCTGATCGTCTTCGCCACATCACTCACAACGCCGTCGAGGAGCTCGATGCTCTCAGCGCGAAACTCGTCCGCCGCTGCCGCCAGCACCCGAGCTTTCATCTCCGCCCCTTTCGCACGCCTAATCTTCTTTGCAGCTTGAGATGTGCTGTACGTGCCCTTGTTCAGGTATCTCCTCTTCGCCTCTTCGGCCCACTCGGGTTCGAACTCTATCCACGCCCGCACGACTTCTTCCAGACTGCTTGCAGAGAGGTTGAATGCCCCAGGAACGGCCTCCTTCAGTTCCTGCCGAAGTGTCAACACACGCATCCGCCGGGCCGCCCTCCCCAACTTTCCAAAGGGCCGCCCACTGTAGTCCCGTTGTCCACCCCAATTTGGATCTCGCGATCTTTGCGCGCCTGCGAGACCGGGTTCTTGTAGTGAACCAACGGCTGGCGCTGCGGCTCGAACTGCGGGTGCTGTTGAATCCCGCGGTGGTGCTCTCTGCACCGGGGCGTACGCTGAGTTCTTGAGTTGAACGGCATCCCAGTCAGCAGCAGTCACCTCGTCTATGATGATTCCCTCCGCGACGGCGTCGCGGCCGCGTGGCTTCCCAGACGTGATCCAGCGGCTCCGCCATTTCAACTCAGTATTGTTGGCTCGCGACCTTGAGTGCAGCACTAACCGATACTTTCGTGGCTTCTGTCTCTCGATGCTGAGCTTGTCGCGCAGCGTGTATCCGTCGGGAACCAACTGCTGCAGGCAGGAGACCCTCTCTTGGTCGAGTTCCATTTGGTTGCCGGTCTTCACAACAACATGTGTACACCTACCGGCGGCTGTGTGCGACGCGGCCCAAGCGGTGGTTCGGCCGCGATTTTTTTGAATTTGAAACAAGTTTTGTTTGAAACTTGGTTTATTTCTGTCTAGGGCCTGGCAAAAAAGAGTTCTGAACCAGGTGATTTAGAACCAGTTTGTTTCAAGGATTCCGAA